TTTGAGTAATGGGCAGGGCTGATGCTACTTATGCTAGAAGCATTGACAAGATCTTAAGAGGAAGTGATACAAGCTCAATCAATTTATTTGTGTCCGTCCATTGAGAATGCAGCATTATGCCTATCAGGAACCCCACAATTACCTGCCACAAATAGGGCCCAAACGATGAAGGCTTGCTGGCACCTCAGGGAATAGTTCACCTATCCATGAGCGGAGGGGGAAGGAGTTCATGGCAAACCCATCTTCAGGTCTCTGTGCCCACTGTAGAGGAGACTAAATGAAGGAGCCACCTGTAGTCCAGAATAACCTCACGGAGTGTCTCTGAGATGTGGACTGGGGTTGACACAAGGAGGCATGAAATGCAGCAGATCTGTCTCAGACGCTAGGGCGTGTGTAATTCACTATTTCAAATAAGATTAATGTGTCATTTCCCGTAAGGCTGACAGCTATTGTAAAGAATTGTGACAGCCCAGGAACACACAGCAGGCTCAGCCTGAGACCCACAGACATTCAGAGTTAATGGGCAGCCAGCCGGGGATAAGCCGGGCAATCAGAAATTTCCACTTCAACAAGGAGGCCCATTGAGTGGTAAACACCCAGCACATGATCCTGACCATTTTACACTTCAAAGCTGCTATTAAGGCAAAGGCTGTGGCAATGCATCACATGCTGCTCATGCACTGTAGGGTGGGCACTGGGAAAGTAATGTGTTTACAGTGGAGTGTCCTGGGTGGAGATGGTAAGTTCTGAGAAGCACTTGTTGCAAAACTGATACAGTTGGTAGGTAGGTAAAGTCCTAAAATAGAGGGGTGTGTTGGAATTTAAAGGGTATGAAGACAGCATGAGGTTTCCTTAGCATCCCATCTTCAGAGATACTTGCATTTAGAGTACTCTACAGACATTAACTAACTAATCCTTGCAACTCCGATATGAAGTAGAAGATAAGGATCTACCATCCTCATGTAACACACAGGGAAACTGAAGTACAGATAAGAAAGTGACTAGCACAGGGGTAGTCAATTATTTTTTGTCAAGGTCCAAATTTCTTGGTCAAGGTATAGTCAAGGTCCAAACTCCAGAGAAAATAATAATAAAAAATAACAGGTTTCAGAGTAGCAGCCATGTTAGTCTGTATCCGCAAAAAGAACAGGAGTACTTGTGGCACCTTA